CTGATACCAGGACTGTTCCACCATTTGTCTATCACCATGGTCGTGATACCAGATCTGTACCTTTCAGAGACACCTTATTGATACTGAAGTAATTGGAAAAATCCTTTTTAAAAGTATTAATATCCAGTGTTCAAATGATCATCTCCTAACCATTTTATTCATTAATCATCCCTGGTGGTGTCAATGATTATATTTATATCTCTATACTGAAAATTTTCAATTTTTACTGTATCTTTGCTTTTCCTAATTTCCGTTGTTGGAAAAAAAATTCCCTGCCTGCATTTTCATTTTTGCCAAAGTTAATTTTAATCTATACTATTAAAAGTTTTTCTCTTAAGATAAGACTGTCAGCACATAAGACCACAACAAAAGAGAGAATTCACTGATTTTGAAGCCTTTGTTAATTTCTGGCTGACAAGAGATGTAGTTTACTTAGTTAGCTGCTAGTATCTATCTAAGTGAGCAGCCAGGGAAATGTCTATCAGACTGATGATATGCAAAGACCAAACCGTTCTCTTTGAGTCTTTTAAACTATTTCAAAAGAGAGGAGAATAGGTAGCTTCCACATATGTGGACAGGAAGGAGAATACACTAAAAGAAACAGGCAACTATTTCCCAAAACAGAATAGAAAATTAGATTTAAATAAACATTCACCATTAAAATTTATAAAACATTTTCTCATGAAATGTAATCTCTCTAAACTTACCTATTATATGAAAGTCAGTTCTTATATGCCACACTACAGTGATTGTTGACTGTTGACATTCATATGAACATATTTCCAAGTTGATTATTTGAAAAAGCAAATGGACTATAATCCTTTATTTTTGCAGTGATCTTTTTAAGATTGTCGATTTTTTTTCAAAATAAAACCAAAGATTTTAAAGATTGAAAATGACATTAAAATTTATCTTCTCAAAGTAATGATGTTTAACTCTGTGTATCTTATTCCTGTTTATAGTATAACTGTCAAGTGATCATTTAACCATTCTTTAAATATTTCAAATTACTGGGAACAAACCACATCCCAGGGTGTATCTTCTTTTTCTTTTCTTTTTTCCTTTATTTTACTTTAAGTTCTGGGGTACATGTGCAGATCTTGCAGGACTGTTACATAGGTATACACATGCCATGGTGGTTTGCTGCCTCCATCCCTCCATCACTTACATTATGTATTTGTCCTAATGCTATTTTTTCTCAATCTCCCCATCTCCTGCTATCCCTCCCTCACCCCCCACCCTCAACAGACCTCAGTTTGTGATGTTCCCATCCTGTGTCCTTGTGTTCTCATTGTTCAGCATTCTCTGAGTGAAAACATGTGGTGTTTGGTTTTCTGTTCTTGTGTCAGTTTGCTGAGAATGATGGTTTGCAGCTTCATCCATGTCCCTGCAAACGACATGAACTCATCCTTTTTTATGGCTGCATAGTATTCCGTGATGTATATGTGCAACTTTTTCTTTATCCACTGTGTTATTGATGGGCATTTGGGTTGGTTGTAAGTCTTTGCTATTGTAAACAGTGCTGCAATGATCATACATGTTCATGTGTCTTTATAATAGAAGGATTTATAATCCTTTGGGTATATACCCAGTAATGGGATTACTGGGTCAAATGGTATTTCTATTTCTAGATCCTTGAGGAATCACCATACTGCCTTCCACAATGATTGAAGTAATTTATATTCCCACCAACAGTGTAAAAGCATTCCTATTTCTCCACATCCTCTCCAGCATCTGTTGACTCCTGATATTTTAATGATCGCTATTCTAACTGGCGTGAGATGGTATCTCAATGTGATTTTGATTTGCATTTTTCTAATGACCAGTGATGATGAGCATTTTTTCTTATGTTTCTTGGCCACATAAATGTCTTCTTTTGAAAAGTGTCTGTTCATAGCCTTTGCCTACTCTTTGATGGGGTTGCTTTTTCTCTCATATATTTGTTTTGGTTCTTTATAGATTCTGATTATTAGTTTTTTGTCAGATGGGTAACTTGCAAAATGTTTTTCCCATTTTGTTGGTTTCTGGTTCACTCTAATGATTGTTTCTTTTGCTGTGCAGAAGCTCTTAAGTTTAATGGGATCTATTTTGTCTTTGGGCTTTTGTTTCCAATGCTTTTGGTGGTTAAGTCATGAAGTCCTTGCCTATGCCTATGTCCTGCATGGTATTTCCTAGGTTTTCTTCATGGGTTTTATGGTGTTAGGTCTCATGTTTAAATCTTTCATTTATCTGGAGTTAATTTTTGTAGAAAGTGTAAGGAAGGAGTCCAGTTTCAACTTTCTGCACATGGCTAGCCAGCTTCCCAACACCATTTATTAAACAGGGAATCCTTTCCCCATTGCTTGTTTTTGTCAGATTTGTCAAAGATAAGATGGTTGTAGATGTGTGACATTACTTCTGAGGCCTCTGTTCTGTTCTGTTGGTCTATATCTCTGTTTTGGTAGCAGTACCATGCTGTTTTGATTATTGTAGCCCTGTAGTATAGTTTGAAGTCAGGTAGTGTGATGCCTCCAGCTTTGTTCTTTTTTCTTAGGATTGTCATGGCTATGTGTCCTCTTTTCTGGTTCCATATGAAGTTTAAGTTGTTTTTTTCCAGTTCTGTGAACTTTGCTGAAGGAGATTAAAGAAGACCTAAATAAGTGGAAAGATATCTTGTGTCCATTGGTTAAAAGATATAACATGGTTAAGATAAAAACACAACTCAAAGCAATCCACAGATTCAATACAACTTTCTCAAAATGGCCCTTTTTATAGGAATGGTTTGGAAGAACTTCATATTCCTAAGAAATAGCAAGTGTGCCCCCAGAACAAAAGCGATCTTGAAATGCCAGAAGGAACATCCTCTATTCCAAAGGTCTTTAACTTGCTCTCAGCAACACCTGGTAGTCTTCAATATACAGGATTTCACATCTTTTTTTGTTGTTGTTTCCATTCGTTTCTAGACAGAATCTCACTCTTTCTCTCAGGCTAGAGTACAGGGGCACAGTCCCAGCTCACTGCAGCATGGAATTAACAGGCCAATGGGATCCTAGGACCTCATCCACTGAGCACCTGGGGCTACAGGCTCACACCGCCACACCTGGATAATTTTTATAGTTTTCAGTAGAGACAAGGTCTCACTATGTTGTCTAGGCTAGTTTTAAATTTCTGAACTCAAGTGACCCTCCTGCCACAGCCTTCCAGGTTGCTGGGATTTGAAGCTGAGCCTGGCTGGCTTTCACATCTTTGCTCTATAGTTTATATTTCCTAATGCTATTGTAAAGTACTCTTTTTAAAAATTTTTTATTAAAATTATATATTTAAGGAATTCTATATATTTATCTATATTTAAGGAATAGAACATGAGGATCATATACATACACATATACATATACATGTACATATACATATACATAATGAACCAATGCCTACTAGGTGAGGGGCTGCCTTGTGAGCAAACCCAAGGGCCCTGGTTCATGAAGCCCTTGGCTAGAAAGGTGGAGGGATCAGCCAGGTGGGCACACAGCAGATTTCTCGTTTTCTTTTGGCAAACACACACACAAATATCAGCACCTGCTCACTGGAGTCTCTGGCAACCCTGACCAGGCTTCGTGATGGGTGAGGTGGGCTAGGAATGGGAAAGTGGATGACCCCAGACCTAGAGACTGCCGCTGTCACCTGGGCACCTGGAATGTGCGTGGAGGAGTCTCCCACAGATTTGGGCCTGGATCAATGCCCAAACATGCACAAGAACAGGACTCTCAGCCTGGATGTTTGCAGAGCTCCCAGTCTTCTAAAGAGGCTGGTGGTGGGGAGGAAGTTTCAACAACACAGAAGATTCTGGGTACTCGAGCTTGGCAACAGAATACTTCCCTGTACTACTAAATGACAATATCTGACACGATGAATGACACACTTGAGCAACAGCTTTCACTGTTTCACAAGCAGTGTCTCCGGACCACTAGGGTAGTGCTGTCGGATGTTGACTGAAACGTCAGTGGTTCAAGCCCATCAGTCACATGAATGTTTCTAGCTGACATGACCTTCCATCTGAAGAGTCTCTCCTTGGGCCAAATATATCTTAAAACTTCTCTTCAGGCCAGGTGCGGTGGCTTACGCCTGTAATCCTAGCACTTTGGGAGGCTGAGGTGGGTGGATCACCTGAGGTCAGGAGTTCAAGACCAGCCTGGCCATCATGGTGAAACTCCATCTTATAAAAACAAACAAACAGAAACTTCTTTTCTTCTTGTCTCTTGTCTATTTTCCAATGTGCCTTTTTGTTGCTTGGGACAAAAAAAGTCCATTTTTAATCTCCCCCCAACAAACATCTCCCCTTACTTATCCTGGTGTTTAGGGTTTTGAGTTTGTTTTCTCAGCTGCTCATATTTGGAACACTGGAAATTCCTAAAACGGAGAATGACGGAACCTGAGTCACACCTCTGGTGAAGCCACAGACTCTGAGGGAGAAACCTAATCTGCCAGGATTTGAAGTTAAACACATTAATTTTGTGTGCCTCCATTTCTATATGTCAAATGCACTAAACCAGAATACTCGGGTTGTCCAATGTTTAAATGAGCTGTGCAGGAAAAGCGTGGAGCCCAATGTCTGTCACATAGTAATTGTTCAATACACATGAGCTCCTATCAGCACCGTTGCCTCCAGTATTTCCATCAGGCTTTGATCTTTTATACACCCTTCTTGATACAAGTGGATCATTCTTCAAACCTTCTCTACCTGATGGCCATGAAATTGCTCCAATGTGTATTATTACAAACACAACTGCAGGGATCAGACTGACACATAGATCTGTCGTGCATCCCCCGTCTACTGCTCCGCAGATACCTGAAAATGGAATTGCCAGATCAAGGTATTTATACATTTCTGATTTTGCTAATTTCTGCCCAAATTACTGTGGAAAGATGATATAACAAGTCACATTTTTAACATTTTGTGAGAAGTCTTTTTTTTCTCCATCTTCTGGCCAAAACTGGGTAGTGCTTGCCTACCATTTCCTCTGAACTTCCTTTTGCCAACATTTCTGTAGTCATACAGTGGGGACATGTTTTATGCATGACATCAAACTCAAATCCTTAAATGAAAAGAGGGATTAACATGACTGTACACAAATTTATATTCAAAATACAATGAATGGAAATATACATGTGTATGTAAATATATACACAAAAATATATAGCCAAAAAATTTTTTTTATTTAGGATACTTCATCAAAGTTATGTATACTTGAAAATTTGTTTAGTAAAACAGTAGTCCCCATGTGTACTCCCAGAGTTTCATCATATATAAGGAATTATTTAGCTCCTTATCTCTAAGTAGCTATTATTCCTCTTTGCTTTCTAAGGTTCGGTCCTATCTCTCCCTCACATACTTGCTCATCGCCACCACCCCCAAACATGCCTCTCAACACCTCACCCTCTAACATGTTTGTGTCCTAGTTTGCTGAGCCAATTACTACATTATTATGAGTTGTACGTTTTATTCGGAGTTCAGTCACATTGGATATACATAGCAGGAATGAAGGACCAGTATCTTCCGGGACTCTCAAGTGGATGAGCTTCAGAGATTTCTGTAATCTTTGGCCGCCCTGCCTGTCTTCTCCTATTCCAGGTAAGCACTGGATATGATGGGCCCAGGTCAGGTCAGACACTCTCCATGAGCAGGGGAGGGTGGGACGTCTTCATGTGCAGTACCAGAAAGACACTGTCCAAAGAGGGAGAGGCAGTTCTAAAAAAGAATGGTCAGTCTGGGGCCTGGGCAGGCAAACCAAGGATGTGAAGAAAACAGTGTCTGCTCTGTGAGGGGAACATGCAGTAGAGGATGGACTCAGAGTGGGAGGAAAAGAGTTTTTGGAAATATGGCCATGGATATTCCTGTGTGAGCTGGAGCCACTCGAAACTGTTGGGGGCTCACAGGGGCAGGGAGCTTAGGAGAATCTGCACTCCCCAACCTGGGAGACAGATGAGGGGACTGTCCTGGTCACCAGACAGAGATAGGGTCT